ATGCTGACAAAAAAATATTCAAAAATACCAAGCATCACATTGAAAACAACAACTTCTGATGAAACTTGCAGGTACATTCAGGAGATGGATCTACAAAAATTAACGGAATGTTGTACGAAAACCCTAGGAGCAAATCAGATGAGAGTTTCATCACAGCAGGATATGGCAATGTGAGCAAAACAACATCTGTTACAAGCAAATGCCAATGGAAAAGCACACTAACAATCTTTACTTACTTTGCAGACACTGGAGGCAGACTTGCATCATGAAATGGCACCAAGTGAAGATGGGCGGAGAGAATCCAATCCCTGGCACAATAACCTGTTGAACAACACGAACCTGCAACAGGTACACACCAAAAAAATTCAGAAAAAAGTCAAATGATCAGCATAAACATTGCAGACAAAAATAAAGTAAAAATAAAATCGCTAACAGTTGCAGGTGCCTGAAGATGTTGATCCCACTAGAGCGGACATTAACACAAACTCAAGCACAGGTGGGTATGAAGAACTAGATAGAGAGGAACAAGAAGACTCACTTGCACAAGATGGAGACGACGGGTATCTTGATGAAGAAGACATTGAGAAGTTCCTGCAAAATGAACAAGATCCAGCATCAGAAGGGAATCTCATGAACACTAGCAGTAATTTCAAGCCGCATCTAGGCATGCAGTTCAAAACAAAGGAAGAAGCACAGGAGTATTTCAATTTCTACTCAAAAGTGGCAGGCTTTTCAGTGGCTACAGTTGCAATCTCAACAACAACTAGCAAAAAAAGAAACAATGAGGTGACAAGAATCACAATGAAGTGCAACAAGTGGGGCAAGACAAATGAAATAGAGAAGGACTGCATAGTGCCCATGAGAAAAACTACAGTCATTGCTAAAACAGATTGTAAAGTTGTGATGGTCATATCAGAAAAAGGAGGCTTATGGGAGATTACAAGACAAGAGCTAGAACACAACCATGAATTAACACCAACTAGTAGATTCTTCATGTCTCATAAGTACATGTCAGATGAAGAGAAGTGCTTGATAAGGGTTTTGAAGCACACAAACCTGGAAACAAGAAGGATTGTTGCTGTCCTAGCTTACTTGCGAGGAGGAATGGCTCAGCTTCCCTACACAAAAAAGCATGTGACTAACTATGCAGCGACAGTAAACAGAGATATTGCAAACTCTGACATGATGGAAGTAGTGCAAATGTTCAACAAGAAGCAAACAAAAAATCCTGGATTTTGCTACTCATTTGAGCTTGATGCAGAAAATAAAGTGAGAAGCTTATTCTGGACAGATGTGCGGTCAAGAATGATGTATGACATTTGTGGTGATTGCATCAGTTTTGACACTACATTCCTAACAAACAGATACAATCTACCGTTTGCACCTTTTGTGGGGATATCCCCACATGGCAACACATACTTGTTTGCTTGTGCATTTATCGTCAATGAGACAAAAGAAACATTTGCGTGGTTGTTTGAACAATTCCTGATGGCTATGGGAGGAAAGCATCCTATATCAATCATAACAGACCAGGACAAGGCAATGCAAGCAGCAATTGAAAAAGTCTTTCCTAATGCTACCCATAGGAGCTGCCTCTTCCACATAAAGAAGAAGGCAGAGAAGAAAGTCGGGCCCTGTTTCCAAGCTAATGAGGGACTCTACGAAGATTTCCAGGACATTGTGGACAACTCCTTAACGGTTGAAGAATTTGAGACACACTGGCAAGAAATGATAGGAAAATACCAAGTTCACCACATCAAGTACTTCAACGACATGTGGGAAAACAGGAAAAAGTTCATCCCGGTGTATTTCAAGGACAAATTCTTCCCATTCATACAAACTACAGCGAGAAGTGAAGGAACGAATTCCCTTTTCAAAAAAGGGGTTGGAGCTAAATTTAGTGGTACTAGCTTTTTGAGAGAGTATGACCGCATACTTGATGTTGTGCATGACAGGGAAGAAGAATGCGACCATGTTAGTAGAAACAAAAAATTTGCACAGAAAGCATTTTGGTCGAAATACAGCATAGAAAGGCAAGCACATGAGCTATACAACATTGGAATATTCAGGAATTTCCAGTTTAAAATGGCAGACACAACAAGGCTGCATGTCTTTGAGCAAGAAAAGGACAAATACTACATTGTGACACAAGCTGAAAACTACCCCCTGAAGGAAATCCGGAAAAGGTTGTACCTAGTGCAAGTTGGACTAAAAGAGGAAGAATACTCTTGCATCTGTTGCGCGTTCCAAAAAGATGGCCTGTTGTGCTTGCACATACTTCGAGTGATGATCCATCTCAACATCGAGAAGATACCAGAAAAATACATAATTGACAGATGGAGGAAGAATGATTACAAGATTGATATTACAAAGACACCAGCTGTTGCAGCTGAGAACTCCACACTAAGGTACAATGTGTTAGCAAGGAAATTGGTGCATATGGCATCAATAGCTTCAAAGAAGAAGAGGAAATATGAATATCTGTTGGGAGAATTAGACAGGATACAGAAAAGGTTACGGGAAATGGATGACGAAGAAGAAACAATGGATGAGGAGCAAAGTGCAACAACAAGAACAGTTACGTTTGTACCAACAGTAGGAGAGGGAGAAAGAACAACATCATCATTCATAATTCAAGACCCGGACGTAGGAAAGACAAAAGGGAGACCAAGGATGCTAACTATTCGTGAGGCAATAAAGCAAAACAAGTTCTACAAATGTTCGCACTGTGGATCACAGAGACACACAGTAAAGAACTGCACAAACCTTGACAAGGTGTACAACAAACCTAAAGGGAAACAATCGAAGCAGTCGAACCCAAGGAATGTCAAGAAAGGTAACTAAAAATATATTGAAAATAAGCTTTATTTGATTGCAAGTATAGAATTTGATACCACTCATTGGATACAGGGGCAGATGACAAAAGGAGGAGCCAGAGGGACAACGGCAAGAAGACGGGCAACACAACGACACAACACAACCCTAGAGCAGAACCCTCCGGAGGAAATGAAGTAAACAATTGACAAGAACATGAGAAAATGAGAAAGACAAGATGACAAGTCAGGAAAGAAAAGGTTGAGTAGGAGGTGAAAAGTGATAGGAAAAGCTACTAGTGAACAATGAATGTACTATGATGGTTAGCAGTGTTGCTACTTAATTTTGAATTCATTGTTGTACTATGATTGAGAAAGTGTTGCTGCCTAAATTCGATCTATTTTGCTGCAAATTAAACTACAATATATACATTTCAACAAAAAAATGGAAAAACACCTACAATACATTTGAGGAAACGTTTGGGAGAGGGGAATGTACCTCACAAACAGCAAGGAGGAAGATCATCCAATAATGATTATGGGACAATCAGAGCAGAAAGGACAAGACGATCCACCAGAACAAGTGAGGATGGACTTTCTTCACCTACAAAGACGTATCAACATCAAAACTGTAATAATCTGGGAAAATACATAATCTTTGCATGAAGAATAATTACATTGAAAATACAATAATTACAGTGACATGAACAATGAAATTACACCGAAATTCTGAGGTGATTCCACTGTAAAATCTGGGGTAATTATAGTGTGAATACCAAAGAATATACATTAGTACCCTAGTAATGCAATATAAAATCCCTTGACCTTATAGTGGTTATTACATACATTGAAAATACAGTGACACTCAAAATGCAAAAGCCAATGTAATTTACATTAGAATTCTTGGGCATTTCACATTGAAACTTCCCAGAGCACTGAAGTACAATATGTAGTTACACTGAAAAGCCAATGAAAATACACTATGTAGTTACACTGAACATACATTAAAAATACATTATGAAAAGGCATTGTAACTTCCCAGCATTTACAGTGTAAAAACACATGAACTTGCACTGTAAAAAACCAGAACCTACACTGAAACAACCCAGAAACATTTATAGTGCAATGCCTCTGAACTTACAGTGTGGGAAAAGAAGCATAAGAAATAGAAAATCTACATGAAATTCATGGGAATAACACATAGAAAAAACTGCAGTAAATTACACTATAGTACTACTAAAAAAATACAGTAACTAAGCATTGAAATCACACTGCAAAATCAAAAAGAAACTAGCTAGTACAACGAAAATGCACACCCAATATTAAACACAAAAAGGAAAAAAAATGAAAGGGCCAGCAAGCATTCTTTTACCTGAATATTAAACTTGAAACTTTGACCGTCCGAGTTTAATTATTGGCGGGCTTCAGAAAGAATTGAACCAACCCTGCAACAACAACAAAGAGATAAAAAAATATTCAGAATATATTAAACACCTAAAAGGGAAAAACAAGTAAAAGAATATGGTGATTGGAAAATGAACCTTGATTGTCCAGGAACGACTAACTGCCGTTGAAGCAACCATGCTTAATAATACACTAAAACAAAAAATAAAATGAAGCAACCACAAAGAAACAAAAAAGCATCAGATAAAACAAATTACACAATGAAAGCATCCTTCTCATACTTCTCTGTAAAAAAGAGTTCACTGAATCACAACATTAAAAATCAAAACAGCCATCCAGCACATACACATGACATCTAGACCAAACCGTACAAATTTGTCACATTTAATTACACTATCGACAAAAAAACATTGACAACAGTACTACTGTCTATAATTTCTCGTCAAAGCTTAGTTTCAAGCAAAGCCTTCGATGTTGCAAAATGCATCTTCCAGGAAAACCTAAGCCTTGACCTGTACAAAAGAAAAGACAACAGACTTTAATAATCTTCGACAATAATGAAACACATCAAACCAAAAATGAAAAGAAAGCATACAAAGAAAACTCACATCTCCTTCTACAGCGTCTTCGGCCACGGCAAGTACTGGGGCGACCTCTCCGGCCACCCGCTCTACGGCATCGGCACCGACATCAAGCACTGCCGGGGCAAGGGCATCGTCGTCCTCCTCTCCATCGGCGGCGGCGGCACCCAGTACTCCCTGCCGTCATCACAGTCCGCGGCCGATGTCGCCGACAACCTGTGGAACGCGCACCTTGGGGGCGGCCGCCGCGGCGTGTTCCGCCCGTTCGGCGACACCGTGGCGAAGGCATCGACTTCTTCATCGACCAGGGCGCGCCGGACCACTACGAGGAGCTCGCCAGGCGTCTGTCCGGATACAACCGGTACTACCGCGGCGCGCCGGGGTGAGGCTGACGGCGACGCCGCGGTGCGTGTACCCGGACTGGTACGTCCAGAGGGCGCTGGACACGGGGCTGTTCGAGCGGATCCACGTCAGGTTCTACGGCGAAGACCGGTGCTCGTACAGCCACGTGCACAAAGACGGGGTGATGGCGCAGTGGAGCAAGTGGACGGCGAGGTACCCCCGGAGCAAGGTGTACATCGGGCTGCCGGCGGCGAACGTGCCCGGGACTGGGAGGAACGACGAGGTCGGCCTCATGTCGATGAACTACGACCTGATGCGGTGATGCCCAGCGTGAAGCAGGCGGCAAACTACGGCGGGGTCATGCTGTGGGACAGGTACTACGACAAGCAGACCGGATACGGCCGCGACCTCTACAACGCCGGCATCAACTACTAATAATCAACGTGCATGCATGCATGCATTATAGTGTGTGTGTGTCTGAAAATAATAAATTAAACACTGATGTGACGGGTGGTATTATATTGTACTTCCAATAAATCAGAGATCCATATATGGACGATGTTTCAACATGATATCATAATTTCTTTCCTCTCGTGTATGTAACAACAGGCTCTGCCAAAATGATTATTTGTCTACTCCCTCCGTCCTAAATATAAGTCCTTTTTAAAATTTCAAATGGACTACCACATACGCGTATACATAGACATATTTTAGAGTGTAGATTTACTCATTTAACTTCATACGTAGTCGGTTGTTGAAATCTCTAAAAAAACCTATATTTAGGAACGGGTGAAGTATGTTTCATATGTATGTATTATATTGTACGAATAAGTCATAGATCCATATATAGACCGCTGGATGTTTCAACATTTTACACTAGTATATGTTACACAAGTGCATAATGGAAGAGGATTAGTGACTCTCGGGGGTCACGCACCCCTATATGAATATATCATTAAAAACAGATCAATTTTTTTTTGAAACAAAAATATCTCTACTCCTATAAAAGCACAATTGGTGATGATGGTGTGTCTGCCATCTATCAATCTCGACCGTTCGATCTGCATCTAACACATCGGATGTGAGCTCTGGCACTTTTGCAAAAAGACATCACCACTCTCTTCATATTATTTTCAGAAAAACACTCTGTCTCTCCATTCCAGACCCATCCAGATCCATCTTCCATCACTCTCCTCTAGCCAGCAATGGAACTCCGATCTCGCGTGATGGTGCTACCGGCAATAATAAAAGGATTATTATTATATTTCCTTGTTCGTGATAATTGTCTTTTATTCATGCTATAATTGTATTATCCGGAAATCGTAATACACGTGTGAATACTTAGACCACAACATGTCCCTAGTGAGCCAGATAGTCATGGTTTCCTGACTATGGACATTGGATGTCGTTGATAACGGGATCACATCATTAGGAGAATGATGTGATGGACAAGACCCAATCCTAAGCATAGCACAAGATCGTGTAGTTCGTTTTGCTAGAGCTTTTCCAATGTCAAGTATCTTTTCCTTAGACCATGAGATCGTGTAACTCCCGGATACCGTAGGAGTGCTTTGGGTGTACCAAATGTCACAACGTAACTGGGTGACTATAAAGGTGCACTACAGGTATCTCCGAAAGTGTCTGTTGGGTTGACGCGGATCGAGACTGGGATTTGTCACTTCGTATAACAGAGAGGTATCACTGGGCCCACTCGGTAGTGCATCATCATAATGAGCTCAAAGTGACCAAGTGTCTGGTCACGGGATCATGCATTACGGTACGAGTAAAGTGACTTGCCGGTAACGAGACTGAACGAGGTATTGGGATACCGACGATCGAGCCTCGGGCAAGTAACATACCGTTTGACAAAGGGAATAGTATACGGGGTTGCTTGAATCCTCGACATCGTGGTTCATCCGATGACATCATCGAGGAGCATGTGGGAGCCAACATGGGTATCCAGATCCCGTTGTTGGTTATTGACCGGAGAGTCGTCTCGGTCATGTCTGCATGTCTCCCGAACCCGTAGGGTCTACACACTTAAGGTTCGGTGACGCTAGGGTTATTAGGAAGACTTGTATGTGATCACCGAATGTTGTTCGGAGTCCCGGATGAGATCCCGGACGTCACGAGGAGTTCCCGAATGGTCCGGAGGTAAATATTTATATATGGGAAGTTGTCAAACGGACACCGGAAAGTTTCAGGGGCATATCGGTATTGTACCGGGGCCACCGGAGGGGTTCCGGGGGTCCACCGGAGGGGCCACCCCTCTCGGAGGGCCTCATGGGCCACAAGGGGCAGGGAACCAGCCCCTAGAGGGCTGGGCGCCCCCTCTTGGGCCCATGCGCCTAGGGTTGGGGGGAACCCTAGTGGGGGGCGCCCCCTTTGCTTGGGGGACAAGCCCCCCCTCCCTGGCGGCCGCCCCCCCTCTAGATCTCATCTAGAGGGGCCGGCCCCCCTTGCCCCTTCCCCTATAAATAGAGGGGTGAGGGGAGGACTGCAACACACTTCCAAGGCGCAGCCCCTCCCCTCCCCAACACCTCTCCTCCTCCGCGTGTGCTTGGCAAAGCCCTGCCGGAGAACTGTCACTCCATCACCACCACGCCGTCGTGCTGCTGTTGGAGCCTTCTTCCTCAACCTCTCCTTCCCCCTTGCTGGATCAAGAAGGAGGAGACGTCGTCCGTTCCGTACGTGTGTTGAACGCGGAGGTGCTGTCCGTTCAGCACTTGGTCATCGGTGATCTGAATCACGGTGAGTACGACTCCATCATCACCGTTCCCTTGAACGTTTCCGCACGCGATCTACAAGTGGTATGTAGATGCAATCTCTCTCCCATGACTCGTTTCTTAGATGAACTCATAGATGGATCTTGGTGAAACCGTAGGAAAAAATTTAATTTTCTGCAACGTTCCCCAACAGTGGCATCATGAGCTAGGTCTATGCGTAGTTCTCTTTGCACGAGTAGAACACAATTGTTGTGGGCGTAGATGTTGTTAACTTTCTTGCCGCTACTAGTCTTATTTTGCTTCAGCGGTATTGTGGGATGAAGCGGCCTGGACCAACCTTACACATACGCTTACGTGAGACCGGTTCCACCGACTGACATGCACTAGTTGCATAAGGTGGCTGGCGGGTGTCTGTCTCTCCCACTTTAGTTGGAGCGGATTCGACGAAAAGGGTCCTTATGAAGGGTAAATAGAAGTTGACAAATCACGTTGTGGCTTTCACGTAGGTAAGAAAACGTTCTTGCTAGAACCCTATTGCAGCCACGTAAAACTTGCAACTACAATTAGAGGACGTCTAACTTGTTTTTGCAGCAAGTGCTTTGTGATATGATATGACCAAAGTTGTGATGAATGATGAATGATATATATGTGATGTATGAGATCATGTTCATGTAATAGGAATCACGACTTGCATGTCGATGAGTATGACAACCGGCAGGAGCCATAGGAGTTGTCATTATTATTTATGACCTGCGTGTCAATGGAAATGCCATGTAAATTACTTTACTTTATTGCTAAACGTGTTAGCCATAGTAGTAGAAGTAATAGTTGGTGAGCAACTTCATGGAGACACGATGATGGAGATCATGATGATGGAGATCATGGTGTCATGCCGGTGACAAGATGATCATGGAGCCCCAAGATGGAGATCAAAGGAGCTATATGATATTGGCCATATCATGTCACTATTATTATTTGATTGCATGTGATGTTTATCATGTTTTGCATCTTGTTTACTTAGAACGACGGTAGTAAATAAGATGATCCCTCATAATAAATTTCAAGAAAGTGTTCCCCCTAACTGTGCACCGTTGCTAAAGTTCGTCGTTTCGAAGCACCATGTGATGATCGGGTGTGATAGATCCTTACGTTCACATACAATGGGTGTAAGACAGATTTACACATGCAGAACACTTAGGGTTAACTTGACGAGCCTAGCATGTACAGACATGGCCTCGGAACACAAGAGACCAAAAGGTCGAACATGAGTCGTATGGAAGATACGATCAACATGGAGATGTTCACCGATGATGACTAGTCCGTCTCACGTGATGATCGGACACGGCCTAGTCGACTCGGATCATGTAACACTTAGATTACTAGAGGGATGTCAAATCTGAGTGGGAGTTCATTAAATAATTTGATTAGATGAACTTTATTATCATGAACAATAGTCTAAAATCTTTGCAAAATGTCTTGTAGATCAAATGGCCAACGCTCATGTCACCATGAACTTCAACACGTTCCTAGAGAAAACCAAGCTGAAAGATGATGGCAGCAACTATTCGGACTGGGTCCGGAACCTGAGGATCATCCTCATAGCTGCCAAGAAACAATATGTCCTAGAAGCACCGCTAGGTGATGCACCCATCCCAGAGAACCAAGAAGTTATGAACGCTTGGCAGTCTCATGCTGATGATTACTCCCTCGTTCAATGCGGCATGCTTTACAGCTTAGAACCGGGGCTCCAAAAGCGTTTTGAGCAATACAGAGCATATGAGATGTTCGAGGAGCTGAAACTAGTTTTCCAAGCTCATGCCCGGGTCGAGAGATATGAAGTCTCCGACAAGTTCTACAGTTGTAAGATGGAGGAGAATAGTTCTATCAGTGAGCACATACTCAAAATGTCTGGGTTGCACAACCACCTCTCCCAGCTGGACATTAACCTCCCAGACGAGGCGGTCATTGACAGAATCCTTCAGTCGCTCCCACCAAGCTACAAGAGCTTTGTGATGAACTACAATATGCAGGGGATGGTGAAAACTATTCCTGAAGTATTTTCAATGCTGAAGTCAGCAGAGGTAGAAATCAAGAAGGAACATCAAGTATTGATGGTCAATAAAACCACTAAGTTTAAGAAGGGCAAGTGTAAGAAGAACTTCAAGAAGGACGGCAAGGATGTTGCCGCGCCTGGTAAGCCAGTTGCCAGGAAGAAGTCAGGCAATGGACCCAAGCCTGAGACTGAGTGATTTTATTGCAAAGGGAAGGGTCACTGGAAGCGGAACTGCCCCAAATACTTAGCAGACAAGAAGGCCGGCAACACTAAAGGTATATTTGATATACATGTAATTGATGTGTACCTTACCAGTACTCGTAGTAACTCCTGGGTATTTGATACCGGTGCCGTTGCTCACATATGTAACTCACAGCAGGAGCTGCGGAATAAACGGAGACTGGCGAAGGACGAGGTGACGATGCGCGTCGGGAATGGTTCCAAGGTCGATGTGATCGCCGTCGGCACGCTACCTCTACATTTACCTATGGGATTAGTTTTAAACATTAATAATTGTTATTTAGTGCCAAGTTTGAGCATGAA